ACTTAAGTCTCTTATTAGGCAGAGATTTTGTGTCGAATCCTGGGGGATGCGATAGAAATCTGTGAGAGGGTAAGTGAGCACAAGCCCATCCAAAGTGGACAGAACGTATCATATAACGGCTTGGATATAGAGATCCAGGTCGTTATACATTCACCGAAAAAAATTAGTTTTCCTTTCTTTTCTTTATCTGCTACATGATTTTGATTTGGCTTCTTAATTTCTTACTATTGCAGGTGAAGATAATTAAATGTCTAGTGGAAAATATTGTGGTAGACATATCCTTTAATCAGGTTGGTGGTTTATGTACGCTGTGCTTCCTTGATGAGGTTAGTATTTATTCTGAAATTTGTAATGTTTGAATCTGAGCTCTCATCATATTTATGAAATTTGATGAACAAATAGTATAACTGCACAACATATTCTTCTGCAGGTTGATAATCTGATAAAACAAAATCATCTGTTCAAGCGCAGCATTATATTGATTAAGGCATGGTGTTATTATGAAAGCCGTATATTGGGGGCTCATCATGGACTTATTTCTACTTATGCTCTAGAGACCTTAGTTCTTTACATCTTTCACGTTTACAACAATTCCTTTAATGGACCACTTGAGGTAGTTTTAGTTACTATGTATGTCAAGAAAATTTAATTGTTAGGTTGTCCTGAAGGATTTTATTTACACTCGCAGGTTCTCTACCGTTTTCTAGAGTTCTTCAGCAACTTTGACTGGGACAATTTTTGTGTTAGCTTATGGGGACCTGTGCCCATTTGTTCCCTACCTGATGTAACTGGTAATAACTTATGAGAACTTTTTATTCAATGTGTTACAGCTATTGGAAATATTGGCTGATTTATGAAGTTTTACAGCGGAACCTCCTCGGAAGGACAGTGGAGAATTGCTCCTTAGCAAATTGTTTCTTGATGCTTGTAGCTCTGTGTATGCTGTTTTCCCTGGTGGCCATGAAAATAATGGACAGCCATTTGTTTCCAAACATTTTAATGTTATTGATCCTTTACGCGTGAACAACAACCTTGGACGTAGTGTTAGTAAAGGTATACGAAGCTTAACTTTTCTTATTGTTCTCTTTGTTTAAGCTTTGAAAATTGTAAAGATAATTACCTTTTGTATCTTTGAGCTCTTTACTTGAAACTTGTTTATTTGTTGCGACGACTACCTAACCTCTACCTCTGAAATAGAACTGTGTTATATGGGCAATAAGTAGGTTTCTACTGGTCAGCTTTGCTTGTAAAGTGAAGATGTGTATGTATTCTTTGAGTTTTAGATCAATGGCTGCTGCATGCCAGCCTTTTCAGTTCCCCTTTGTCTTTATTTAAATATGTTCTAAGGATTTTACAGAGGAATGCCTTGGGTCTAGTATTCATGTGGTCTGTATGCACACTGACCATCCAGATTCACATAGCAAGTCTGAAAGAAAAGAGGGGGAATGAAACAGACTAATTATGACTGATAAGATGAGAAAGGAGAAATCTGTTTTATCAAACCACCATTTCTACTTTTATTTTTCTGTTGGTTCTATTCCTTTGTTCTGTTTTAGGTTAAAAATTCACTTGAAGTAGAAGCTATAATATAGCTTGCCTGTCTACTATCAGCTAGGGCAAAAAAAGTTATTTATGTTGTGTTTGATTTCCAGGGAAAAGACTGGAAGAAAAGGGAAAGTAGAAACAGGAAACTAGGTCACAAGGACAGATGAAGTCAGTTTTTCTTCTTTTGTTTGGTTTTAAGAAGAAAATGGAAGAAAATACAGATGGGTAAATTTGTGGTCCCTAGACGAATTTTGAGAGGGAACCATTTGCTCATAGTTTGAAGACTTTCATTTTAACTTTTCAAACATGTTATCAATGTCAATTCTGTTAAATTTTTTCTTGCGCATCGTAAATCAAATTTTCAAAATAAGAGGCTTTAGCCTTATTTTTTTGGTTAATTTCAATGGCGATCTTGGCTGGTCTTATTCTGGAATTGGTAGAATTGGGACTGTTATCACTTTTATCCTTGCCAAAGGGAAAGTAATTTTGAACCATGTGGACAAAAAAGATTTGAATAATGTGAAGTTACAAAACTTCTTTGAGAAATTATGTGATCTTTTCTCATGTCAAGTTCTGTTATAGATTGTGTTTCAATTGAATGGCGTGATGAAGATGCATTTTGTGTTCCATCTTGGTAACAGAGTATGAATGAGAAACCAGAGAAGAGAGGGGGGAAATGAGCGTGAGGGAAAACCTGTCTGTAACCAGAGGTGCTCCCCAATTACAAAGAATCTGATGTAGAAATGTATGCATGAGGTCTTTTGACAGCTGGAGAAACCATATGGTCTTGAACACTTACATCCCCCAATGGAAACAAAATGAAAATAATGAACAAACTCACTCCCGTGGCCAAAGTCAATGTCTATTTCCCTGCACACAAATTGAGTTATTTGGACAATTCACTATGTAAGTTTGTGGTCACAACAAGTCTCAGACTCAGTCTGATACTGTTGATTTTGTATGTTCATTATCAGTGTCAATTGTCAAACTTGGTTTTATCTGAATTTTTCTCTCAAAGAAGTCCAGTCCTTTTTTCTTTTTACTTTGCAACAGCCAACGTTATTCCTTGCTTTTGCAAAACATAGGTAATGTACTTGCACTTCTTGTATTTTTTATCTCCTGTCTAAATTCACTGATCATTTGATGCTATATTTCTTGTGGGTATTCATTTTCCATTACTTCTTATAGTTTGCTTGCAGCTGATAGTTTTTGTTCTCAGGTAATTTTTTTAGAATACGGAGCGCATTTGCTTTTGGAGCTAAAAGACTGGCTAGATTACTTGACTGCACCAAAGAAAATGTAATTTATGAAGTTAATCAGTTCTTCACAAATACATGGGATAGGCACAGCAGCGGAGATCGTCCTGATGCACCTGGAATTGATTTGGGGCGCTTGAGATTATCAACTCCAGAGAGCATTCATGAATTTGATAATTCAAACGATAATGCGATTGGCAAAAAAGTAAATGGCAGGTCCTCTGGTCATAAGATGGTGGCTGAGGGGGTTCATGCACATGTTTCCTCTCAACACGGCAATTATTCACCTGTAAGCGTGTCTAGAAAAAGTGAGTCATCCGCAGTTTCTGAAACTCAAAGCTTAAAAAATCACATCATGTTAAGTAGCTTGAGGGGTTCTGCACAAAGTAGAAGAGATGCTATTTCCAATCAGGTTTCGAATAATGAGAAAGGTCAGAGAGATCTGAAACCTGATAGTTTGGTGAATGACTTCCAGGGAAAGTTCAGTTTTGCCAGAACACGCTCAAGCCCGGAGCTTACTGACACATATAGTGATGTTTCACTGCGTAATAGATCTACTGAAAGTGCAAAAGTACATGCTACTTATCTAAGGCCAGACAGTAGTAACAGGAGGGACATTGGTTCTGAAGGTTTAGCGTGCAATAGCAGTCAATCTTCAGTTGACAAGACTCAATTCGCTGGGCACATCCCATCCAGTCAAAGTCTAGACACTGCTGACTCTAATAGCAGCTCACATAGCTATCGCAGAGATTCTGGGTTGGATGCGTCAAATGAAGAGCTTTCCTCAACCTCTGGAACCTGGGGGATGCTCCAGGAAGAACAAGATTTTGTCAACGTGATAGCATCTGCTTCTTTTCATGGCTTTAACGGTCAGGTTCACTTGCCATTCAATCTATCATCAGCTCAAATGCCTTTCACGATCTCGATGTCGTCGTTAGCTTCAATGGGATATGGTCAACAGAATCTACCAGGATTGCTTCCTACAAATATTCCTGTATACGATCCTTCTTTTCCAAATTTGCATTTTCCTCATGGTCTGGTTTCACCCCAATTCACTCATTATTTCCCAAGCATCGATCTTGGGTCAAGGTCTGATGATAAACTGGAGCGAAGTAATGAAAACTTCGAGTCTGTGAGAATGAACTCCATGGAATCAGATAATGAATTCTTGCAGGAGCAGGATGTTGGCTCCACTAGTGGGTACGACGCTGATAATGGAAGTTTTGAAATGATTCAGTCATATGATAAACCACATGCGACATCGTCCAGTTTAAAATATATCCCTCCATTTCGAATAAGTGGTAAGCATACCAAAGAAAAACATGGATCAACGAGGGAGGATAGTGGTAATTTCTCATTTCAGGATATCAGAGGTAAGGAGGCTTATGAAGAAGAAAGACCTGCAAGTTCAAGGTTCTCTTCTGCTACCCGTAGTAGTTCTTTGAGAAGTAGAGCTTCTTCAGAGGGTTCCTGGGATGGGCCATCGGTTAAGAACCCAAAGTCGACAAATGAAAGACGGGGAAAGAAAATAGTTACTGCTGATCCGGCTATTGGTCATGGAAAAGGCAAAATTATGTCCGAACATGTTACAAATAAGGCTGAAGATAATGATCAGGAATGGCTTGCACTATCAAATGTGGGGACTGAAATGGCAGAACGAAATCCGGTTTCTCAATCTGTTGCATCTTTGTATGTTCAAAGGCATCCTGTGCCTGGCTTTGAAGTTGCTCAGACAAGTGGATCGGACTCGATGATCCCCATTGCCCCAATGCTGATAGCTCCTGGTTCTAGACAGAGGATGATGGATAATAATGGGCTTGTTGCATTTTATCCTACTGGGCCTCCAATCCCATTTGTAACAATGCTTCCAGTATACAATCTTCCTCCTGAGACTAGAATATCTGATCAATCAACTGACCGTTTTGGAGCTGATGAAAGCTTGGATAACAGTGACTCTGTTCAGAACTATAGTCCTTCTGAGGGCTTTGACCAGTCTGAGGATTTAAATTCTTCTAGTTCCTTGAGGGGGACAACCACTATTGAGACATCTGATGAGCAGAAGTCTGATATTCTCCACAGCGACTTTGCCAGCCATTGGCAAAATTTGCAATTTGGAAGGTTCTGCCAGAATCCACGCTCCCATGATCCTTTATTCTATCCTTCACCTGTAATGGTCCCACCAGTTTATCTGCAGGGTCATTTCCCATATGATAATCCTGGAAGACCACTTTCAGCTAACACTAACCTTTTCACTCAGCTTGCGAGTTATGGTCAACGTCTAGTTCCGGTTGCTCCCCTTCAGTCTGTTTCCAGTAGATCTTCATATGTTTATCCAAGATACATCGATGATATGCCAAGATATCGTAGCGGGACTGGGACTTACCTGCCGAATCCTGTAAGATAATTTATCATACTTGTTCGGTTACACATTGCGAATATTTAGATATTATTTATTTGGGAAGTCCTACTTTATCTTTAAATTATTTTTATGTTAAGAGTATGTTTTGTAGTGATTATAAGCAGCGAGTCTTACGGAATGTGTAGATAATAAGTGGGTAGTTGGCCAGCTTAATTGTAATTTAAGCTTAGCCAAACCTGCACTTAGAATTCCACTCACAAACACACAAATGGTTGTTACTTCCATTTCTTTCTTTACAAGAAAAAGGAGAATGCATACAAGTGTATGCTAAGAAAATTAAACCACCTTGAGCTTCATAAAATCCATCCATGAATCTGTGCAGTTGGACGGACTGCATGCTCCGAAATTTAAAAAGTAAGGAACTATTTTAAACTTAAAGCAAGAAGTCTCAACTTTTAGAAGCTCTTGTTATGCTCTCTCACAACCTTCATAATGGTATGCACATCAAGCAACCTTTAAAGCTTGATACTTAGGTGAGAGGCGATGATTTCATATCTTTTCTATATGGCCTTAATTACATATATGGCTAATGATTAGGAAATGGATGGTCACAAATTAGTTTGTAACCAACTGTATCAGAAGACATTAAGAGCCATTTGTACTTCTGAAGTGAAACTTCAATGTGTAATTTTGGGACCCCAAAGATAAGTATAATCAAGTGTTTGGTCCTCTTGTTGATCTATAAAAACAAAGAGTTCAAGTGTGAATCATGTGTATTTGATTTTTGTTCTCTTATTGTGTTTGTGGGCATAAGGCCTTGGGTTTGCTCCCCAATGG